AGAAATACAATTACAACTCATTTAAGCAGAAAAGGAAAATTATTGTTAGGAATCTCTTAGTTGGCTCTGCTTTCTTCTGCACTGACTTTTTTCTCAGGTTTGCTCTCTCCAGGTGATATATAGCACCCAGCAACTTATAAAGAGACAGTTCTTCTTTCACGTTATTCCTGGCAAAAGTCTTGAGAGCTTCCCTTATCCCAGTGTGGGTCCCTGGAGCATATTGTCTTTCTTTATAAGATATTTTTTATTCTTTTTATTTCTCTCCTTCTCTTCCAATGTATTTGGAAGTGCTGTTAGCTCCAAAGCAACAACGTGGACTAAGAGTTGGAGACAGAGATGGTTCCCCAAAGGAAAAGCAAAATTGCCCGGCCCTTAAATACATTTTTAATGGTTAAATTTCTTAAGTTGGCGTTCACTTTTGTTTAATTGGTATGTGCAGTCAGCTGAGTTTATGGAGAACAGCCAGTTGTTGGGAAATAGTATGTATATTAGCCAGTTCCCAAAAATTATTTTCTGGCTTATAACTTATGCCAGTTTTTGCTTATAGATTGTTTTGATGCCATGGATATTACCTAGATAACATTTGAGCCCATCTAAATATAAAGCAAACCTGATTGTAAGACCATTTTGCCACTTACTGTTCAGTTTTATTATTTTTACTTATTTATGTTTGTGTTTATGATTTAATTTCTCGTTTTATAAATTCACTTAAACACATATGTTCAAAGACACAATGCATATTTCTAAATGCCTTAGAAATATTCTTTACCATACAAAAGAATTACAGTAGCAAAATTGCTATTGCCAGTCTGAGTATGAATCAGGTATCTCTGATTTAATTATTTTTATGCAAGCATTTGGGTCTCTTATTTGTGATGAACATTGTGCTAGATACTTACAGGTATAAAATTAGTATGCCTTAGATACTTAATGATTTCTGTGCTCCCAATCAAAATTGTAATGGGTACTTACTAAGATATGTTGGTTTTGTTAGTGTGAGCTATAACTCTGTTCTTTGATTTATTCTCATACATTCTAGGTAAAAGTTGTACCCCAAAACATTATATTATTGGAACTCTGTTAAATGATTTTCTTATGTCTCTCCCTAGGAGAATTATTATACCAAAGAATGTA